CCCACAAAAAGATCAAAAAACACCTTGTCAAGAGTTTGTATTTATCCTTGTGACCACTTATATATTTATATAATGCACAATTAAAGAAACTCCATTATCTGTATACATCTTGTTGATTACTGCCTTTCCCGCATTGTCATGGTAACCAGTGTGGTCATACCAAATCTTACTTGCATTTGTTTTTCTAAGCACATCATAATTTGTTAAAAAATAATAGTTTGGGTAGTTTAATTTATTACTTTTCATAGGTTAATGTATTTGACCATTGCAACCAGCCATTCACTTTAAGGGCTCCCAACCTGCAATCTTACATTTTCAACACTTCTAAACTAAAGTATTGTTTAAAGTTTTAAGTTACATACTTAATTTGATTTTTTGACTGAAATAAGAGGGATTAATAACATTTGCTTATATATAACAACAATTGGCATTTTACACAATCAGGTTATGGACGCTAGCGGGCAGCGGGCAGCGGGTAGCGGGTAGCGGCCGGTGCCCGCGTGTCGCTGAACCGGCGCAAGTCAAGGGCCCCGGTCGACGACCGCTCGCGACCACGCTGCGCCCGCATATTATGCACCAACGGCCGGACAACTTTACTTTTCATGTACATACCTTAATTGCATTTTTGCCTCAATAATTTATTACGAAATGTTGACAAACTATCTTGTAAACGATCATTCGTTCCAGTTTTAATATAAAACATGAAATGCAAACGCATAGGTTTTTTTTGTTCATTAATTTTCTTATTATACTACGATGAGGTCAATAGAACATTAACCTGAAGGTAATATGCAACTTCGTGACAAATTAGAACTGGCCAGAAAGCAAGTTTAAAATATTTTAATGTTATATTTCCAGTAAACAAATTTTCAAATATATATTGTTGCATATTATTTTTATTTATGAAATTATTATTTTGTTGCAAGTGTTTGCCATAAGGTAGAGGAGAGTTAACTTTCCCAAAATTTTTATCGTAATTATTGTAGTATTATCGGTCATATTTGTAACAACATATGGCAGGTTGCCACGATCGGTCGACGAACTCAAGGCACCGCACACCGCGCACCGCACGCGACTCTACGCTGCCCCACGCTCGAGTACCAGCTGCCACGGGCTACGGCGCGGCGGCCCTACGCATTTACTATGTCAGTGGCCCTGAAACTTCTAGTTCTCGTACAACTCTAGAATTCCGTGAAAACTCAGATGGGTTACGCCAAAATTATAATTCTAAAAATCTATCTTTCACATTTGCAAATTCAAAAATGTGTGTGAAGTCATCCAATCTACATTCTGCTCTCTTATGTTTATTAAGACAGTTAACACCTAACTTAGGGCAAGTCTTGGTAGGATCATTTGTTAGCTTAAGGATATATAACACATTTTAATGATTTAACATTAAAGAGCGATTTTACTTTTTAAACTTAACCTTTCATTTTAAATTAAAAAAATCTTTAATCAATTTTTAAAGGTTTGAGAACCGCTGAATTACGTCAGGCTTATTCACAAAACACATTCATATATTCGTTGAAAGAAAACATTACAATACATTACCTGTTGGAAATGCGTTTACTAACCTTAATGGGTTTAGTATAGTTTGTCAAAGGAGCGCATTCATAATCGGGTCGGTGTCCTTTCGCCTTCATTATCGACCGATATTGCATTGAAGACGACAGCTGCATTCGTAATAGCTACCTAATTGATTACAGACGCATTGTTGGTCGTGTTATTGACTCGCTCGCGGTCGCAGGTTCAAAGCCTATACAGTTCACGTCACTATACGTGTTAGTATACTGTTTTATTAATTAAATCTAATCTACCAAGTATTGTAGATAGACTTATAACGATTTGTACTTCATTCACTGTATTTAAAAAGCCTTAAATAGTACATAAAGTATATAGCTCCATTTAAATTAATATTTATATCAAATCTGTAGTTTAATTTCGGGAGCTATCGGAAAAGACTTATTATTTTTGCATTTTATAACAATTGCTGTTACAGCCGATTACTAAGAAAAGTTAAACATTTATTTTCCATGAATATTTCTGCTGTCTAGTAATATATCAGTCTATTGTATCGCGTCATGAGTTTTGTGGAGAGCAGAAATGGTGGTAGTCGGGGTACCAACACAAGCCACATTTTTCAGGGAGACAGTTCATAATCTGCCAGGTAAATGGGAGCAAGTTACAGATAGCGGTTACGAATTAAATAACTATATAAGAAACGGAACTTAACTACTTATGACTCAACTTAGTTAACATATACCATTAAAGTAACAGTTCAAAGTCACTTAAAACTAATTAATTAAGCTAACAATGAACAAGTGATCTCATTATTATAGACTGTAAGTGTTATGTCATATTAATAATATTATGATATAGCGGAATGTGGCCGGTATCAAAATTAATATTAAAATGTGACATGTTGCCATCTTCACGCAAAAGCTGCTACAAAAACCGCGCGGCCATTGCCCTCATTTATTATAAATGTTTTATTGTTCAAGCTTTTCTACACAAGCGCTTATTGTAAGCCACACTAATAATACATATCGTTGTTCCCGACATCTACACTTATGTTTTTTAATAATATTATAATGTAATTAATTAGAATGTTATGTTAGACATAAGTATGATAACTATGTATTCAGTGAAAGTACAGAGACAGTTAATCCAATATTTTGTATAATACTACAATGATATTAATATAATAATTTAATTCAGTGACGTTGCGAAGTATGAAAAACAATCGAAGAAAATGTACCAATTATGATCATGACCTTTGTTTATAATCGATCGACCTCAATATAAAGAGAGTCGTCACTTACGCATACATCGTCTGTCTATAATGAAAACAAATAAAGAAGAGAAACGACGAGCACGTCGTCGATCCGTCACGTACTTTATTAAGGCACCCTGACCGTAAAATGACCGGGTTGGATTGTGATCGAGGGCAAATTTAGTTCGACAGTTCTATTTAAAGTTAATATTGGCTGATAATTGCAGCGGCAAAAGGTTAATCGACACTTGGCCGCGCATAACTGTCAACGAGGCTTTGTGTTCGGTCGCTTTGGACCTTTTCCGTGAGCACGGCCTTGAATATGGTCGCTCACCCGCCACGTTTGCAGTAAACTAAGAAATTTATGAAACAACAGAGGCCAAACGCCCACGAGGACAATTTATCTGGCATCTGATGAGTCTCCTCAATCCGGTGCGGCGTATCGATTCTGCACTTTGTTCGTCATACAGATATCAAACGTAAAGATGACATGAAGTAAACAACCTTTAAAGCCAAACAAATATCTAAGTGAAACATTGACTTGAGTCATATGCAACATGCATTTTATTTTCAATATATTTCTCGATATTACATGTGGATATTAAATAAAAATGTTCCAAAAATGGTCTGAAAGAACTAGAGGTTTAAATAAAAACAGGAATACTGTACATGAAGCTTGAAATAATAACATAATTTAGGCATATTTCAATTTTTAGGACTTTTACGAAAATCGAAGGTCTCACTCAGTAACAAGCGGGGTGAGGCTTCTGGCATTCGAGAAGGCCATTCCAGAATTGGAATGGAATGGATATGACCTTGCGAAGGCGAGGTCAGATCCTCCCCCCCTGCCCGAGCCTCCCTCGTATCCCACAGCCTACCTGCGCCTCAGCGGACGTCACTACCATTGTGCCTTTATTATTATTTAACTACCTAGACTTTGGAATAAAATAAATATTTTTCTAATTACATTTCAAAGTTACACGCTCAAACTTTAACCTTTTTTAAAATTAACCAAAAAGGCAAATTTCAATACGTTAATCGGCATTTGTAATACTATTTAAAATATGTTGTACTTGAGCAAATGATTGCTATTATGTATACATACACGGTCATACAGTCGCAGGGAAGTCTTATTACTGTGTGATGCAAAATTTTCCATTTCACACATTCTATTCTTGGACTTAAGCATTACTTCCGTGTATAATGTAATTTATATGCAAGTAGGTATATAAATGAACTTTGAACGGAGAAGTATTAAAATAATGGCAGAGGGCATTGTGGAGGCATGGGGCTGGGGCTGGGACTGAGGGTGGGGTTGGGGCGGCCTTGGCCGTGATCGCGCGCTCGATATAGCGCGCCCCGACCGAATACCCCCCCAAACTCCCTATCGCCCAACCCGCCAGCCGCCCAACTCGCCCACACCATACACCGTGCTCTGAATTTCTGATGTACCGACTATTTCCGTCATATTGATAAGATACATAAAGGAAAGTAGGTATCTATAATGTATTTTCATTTACAATATACATTGGAATTGAATTACATAATTTCATGATAGCCGTCACCAGCACAGAAAAACATGTAGACGTTTATTTTCATGGCAGGGTACAAAATAAATTGCTTTTACTGCGTTTATTGAAAAGACGTTATAACAGTTCAGAGCAAAAATAAGCACGGTAAGGGTCTTTGTGTTGAGATTTAGTTTTAGATGGGATCTCCCGACTTAATTTTATTTAATAAACTACAACATTATTTAATGTAAAATGATAGAAAATTTGTAAATATAGTAAAGCGTTGTTATTTACACTTCAACTAAACACAATTATGGTCACATATAAAATAAATTCGGTACACCTCATGAATATAAAAACCATTCGACTATAATTAATAAGCAGACGGCGTAGCTGGAGCGAACCAGAATAAGACACCAAGGTCAAACAGCGGAGTGATATCATTTATGGCGCGCTTGTCCCTGAACCGTGGCAGTTAGGCGCGAGTGACGCACTACGACTCGAATAACGCTGGCCCTGAACTCGCAATACAAAAATATAACATTTGCACAATGTCACTTTACACCCACGTTTCTATCAAAACGTCACCAAGGGTTAATATCTTTTTTCATCGTCTATTAATTTGCAACACAAATATAACAAAACCTAACTCAAGAACACTGCTTTGTTAGTTTCATATTATCAGGATATCTTATGCGGAGAAAAATGAATCCAAGACTGATAAAAAATTGTTTATTGGACTATAACAATATACATCACTTATTTAGCTTTCTTCATACCCTTCTTTTTCGGAGGTGCTTTTTTATTAGCAGCACCTTTCTTTCCTCTACCTTTAGTTTTCTCCTTGTTCTTTTGGGCGCGCAAGTCTTTCTTCATGCGAGGATCCACCACCTTGTAGTGTCCCTTGACTCCCGCCGGCCGCTTCATTCGCTTGGCCGTAGTATGTTTCTTAGCGACCACATAAGTAACCTTCTTTTTGGTTTCTGTTTTAGCCTTTTTATACAATTGCTTAATTTGTTGGGCCTTTTCACGTTCCGACATGTCTGCATTCTCCATTACAGCTTCGACCTTCTTCTTTGCGCGTTCCATCTTCTTTATCATACGCTTCTTCTTCCTAGCTTTAGCTTCAACTACCTTCTTAATTGGACGCACATTGATATCCTGCATCCTGTTCTTATATTCTTCTACATATTGCTATAAAGAATATTTAAAATGATGAAAGTGACAGTTAAAACTAAAACATTTATTCAGTAATTTAAAAATATGTTCTGGGTAGAAAACTTGGATAAACTAAGTCACAAATAATCTATTACTTTTGAGGATTTATAATTCTATGTTTGCTACCAAATTTATATGATATTATAATTGTTAAGAACTCTTCTTAAAATAGATAAACTTACCTCGGGTACAACAACCTCCTTATGCATATGTTTCTTTTCGTCTTCAGCGAACCAATCAGGCAAGTTTTTGTCATTAAAGGCGTATCTGTTCCATGCATTATCAATTAAATCCCTTTTAAATTTCTTTGATGTTGCTATCATTGTGCCCAATGCTAACGTCTCTGCATCCATTTTTAACGTTTTCTTCAATCTTTTTAACTCTATAAATGAAAGAAAGCTATATTTTTAGATTTAAAAACTTATATAATAAACCCAAAATAAAGATATTAACATCCATAGCAATACAACTAATGAAATTAATATTTTATTTTACTAATATTATCAATATGAATGTTTGGATGGATGAATCGATGTTTATAAAAGGAATGGATGTACATAGTGTGGAAGAACACATAGGCTTCTTATCAAGTTTTTCTTTTTTAATTCTGTTCAGAGGGAGAGCAGTATCCATATAACTTAAAGGTGACATCTGCATATAACCAAGGTGTAGATCAAAATAATAATAACTTGCCTGGATCTTGTGATACAACTTCAAATCCATCTTTTTTGTTGGTTTTCCCAGAATCTGGTCCATTTGCCGGTGACACATTGTCCTCTACATCATAATCACTATCTGTAGAATCACCATCGGAGCTTTCAGACTTGTCTGATTTACGTTTTACACCTTTTCCCATTGTAGATGATAAATTTTCTTCAGATACCTTTTTACCTATATATAAAATTTTATTGTCGATTAATGAATAAATAATTATTGTCACAAGTAATATGTTATTTTGTATAATTTTTTTACCCTTCTGTCTGTATGTTTCAGCTAATTTGTCCAAATCAATGCCCTCATCTTCATCCTCATCAATATCTTTAAAACTATCTTTCTGAAACCAAAGATCTGCTTTCATAGATCTCTTTGATACAGGGTCTGTATCATCTAAATCCGTCAAAAGAGGATTATTTTTCGGTATAGTTGGTGTTCTTTCAATTTTACTATTCCTTAAAGTATTAAGTTTTGTGAGTTTGTCAATTTTCTTTGATTCATTGTCCGAGTCTGAGAAGGCTGTAAAATAAATATATTTTTATTCAATTAATTTAATAGTAAAAATATTGTCTATTTAAGAATCTTCTATTTAGTGATAATCTCCTTTATTTACTAATCTGTATCTGTTTTCATACAGTCAGTATTAAATCTTACCTAAAGATTCTTTTTCCTTTTCATCTTCTGAATCACTTTCCATTTCCAAATCACTATCAGAATCTTTGTAATAGAGTCCGGAAGAGTCCAATTTGGACGCTTCAACATCATATTTCATATACTTTGGCTTAGATTTGAGCTCGCTGTCTGAATCATCACTTCCTTCTGCCAATATATCAGGTTGTTGGTCAACCAGTTGCTCCAATTCCTTTCATCAAAATAAATATAAAAGAATAAATTTTAACAAAATCAACAAGTTAAAAGCTCAAAAAAAGTATGTAAATTATTGAACAAGACTACAATTTACTAAATACCTTAGCATTTTTAATATCCGACAGTTTGAACATATCATTACTCTCCAGTATAGGTCCTCCATCACCTTTAAGAACCATTTTGAGGTTCATTTTCTCTGCCAACTTTTGTCTCTGTTTATTTAGTTGTTTTCTCTTTCTTTTCTGCAAACGCCTTTCTTCATCCTGCAATTATGACATTATTTATACTACATACCAAATTAAGACTTGTCCAGAAAATTACGTAAAAATCATAATATGATAAAAACCGCAGTTTCCAAATGAATACCAACAGGAAGTTGTTGTATGTTTTCTATTTTCTAACGGTGAGTATCCACTGTTCGAACAATTGTATAACATCAAAATTGTCATCCCTCTGATTCTCTCGGGAAAATTAGAGATAATAATAATGTTCTTATACAACACTTGTAATTTACAGAAAATGAAATTGAATTTCCTATCATCATTCATTGTCAGCTTATTATACATCCCCACCAAGGGGCTCAGAGCCTTACTAATTTTTTCTCGTCATTCACTAACTTGAAAATAATAGTAAATAATTATACACAAACCTGTAATTCTGCAATTTCTGTATCAACATCTTTATCATCTTCAGATGCTTCTTTATCCGCAGTCTCATCTTCTTTAGTGTCAACAGGTTCTATTTCCTGCAAATAAAATGTAAATATGTAGATGACATTGTTTGCAGCAATGAAATACAAATAAACCTGCTATTCTACAGCCTGCTACATTTCGAATATGTATGATTTTTTTTAAATAATAAATATTAATATTTTTACCTTAGGTGAAACCTCCTTTGATTTCCATTCTTTCATTTGCTTCATCCAACTCAATAAAGCTTTTAAATCTTTTCTACCAAGTACTTTTATATCTTTACAGCATTCTTTTATTTCAATTGTTGTTTTTGGATTGCTTAATATTCCTTCATCATCAATCACAATCTGAAAGTAAATAGGATATTATTTTATAATATAGTATATTATAATTATGTTAAATATTAAAAGTTGTCTATAATAAGTAACACAACTTACTTCAGAGCAACCTTGTAAGAGATCAATTGGATCGTCATGGCTAAGAAATTCAGAAAGTGGTACTTTATGATGTGTTGTGTAGTCATTTTCTTTATACCCTTCAGCTTTTGCTTTCTTTTGCTTCTCTGGGTGCATTATATTTAAATGCTGTTTTTTTACTATTTCCAAATCTTCAAATACACTCTTAGGATCAAGAAATTTTGGATCTATACTATCCGGTGCTATGTACCCTTGACAAACAACAAAGATTTCAGATGATTCATTTCGGGAGGCTTGCGGCTTGGTTGCGTGAACCTTTTTGAAAAATTGCTTGAAAACCCACAAAAGTGCATGATAATCTTTTGATCGGAACACCTTTGTTATAAACCAACCTCCTTCTCTTAGAAAATTTGTTGTTAATTTCAAGGCGCTAAGTGTCAAACAAGCTTGCTGGTATGCATCATGTATCCAGTTGAGACCAACATTCGGTGCACCATCATGTAGTACAACATCAGCTTTCCAGGTCTTTATCTCTTTTTTTATAGCTGTTTTACATTTCTCCGTAGTAATGTCCTCTGTCAAAGCTATACAGCCAGGTACGGGCTTAATAGGAAATAAATCGACGCCTATCACGATACTGGATACAGGCATATTTTGATGAGCCACTTGCATCCAGCCACCAGGCGCGGCACACAAGTCGATACATACTCGAGATTTTTGTAAAAAACCAAATTTTCTGTTTAGTTGAATTAATTTGAATGCGGCACGGGACCGAAAACCTGAAATGTTGATTTATATGTGAGCAAATATAACAGCATTTTAAAGTGAGAAAATTAGTACTAAAAATACCTGTTTCTTTAGCAAGTTGATAATATTTATCTTTTCGCTGTTTTCCAATTTTAGTCTTTTTACCCATTATGTTTTAGAAATTGTTTTACAAATAAGTAAACAAACTAATCAAACACATGATTATCCACGAGACAGAAGTTAAAACATTGAGGTTATAAAATAATGTTGCCCTTTCTCCATTGTCATTTTACTGACAGATCGCAGAAACGGCAGTTTGGCACATATATTGATATTAGAACACTTGTGTAAATGAAAGCTTATTAGCAAATAAGTCTAAATAAAGTTTACGATCATAACCATAAATTCCAATATTTTTCAGGTAACCATTGACCTGAAAATAATTTGAAATCACATTGCATTATAAACATTTTATATAATACGTATATACCTATAAATGTTACATAATTTCAGTCCAAGGCTACATTTAAGATTTAAAAATGCTGAACTTTAAATATATTGAACTTTGATTTAATCCTCAATGAAAGTCAGTTATCATGGCAACATGGCGAACAGGGTTGTAATTTTATCTTTGCAGAACCGTGTTTATATCTTATTGGACTTTCGACTTGTTTCCGTTTTCATTTCATCAATGACATGCGAAAATGTAAAATCGATACTGTTAAATCGATTGCAAAATGTAATTTTCAAATTGATTCAAAAAGAAATTTATTTGATGCATACAGATCGAAACGCCAATAATTGATCTATCGATTAAATTAAAAATTTGGAAATAAAAATACTTGTTCAAATAATAATTACATTTTTGAAATTAAAACTATTATTTGTATGGCTTAGTAGTACGTAAGAAAATATTAATTGATCAGTAGCGAGATAAATATGTGATTGTAGAGGTGAGGACTTAGCTTAGAGGATTGTTGAAGACATACAATTTGAAATTGGCAATTCTTCTTGTCTTTGAAAAATCGATTTTTTATTAGAAGCGATGCAAACGTCAAAACATTCTTACTCGGAATTACTAATCAAAATCTATTTTTAACAACTCATGACGATATTCATTACACCACCATCACAGAATAAAATACGAAACCTCCGAACTCAGTACAGCACCATTTTGCCATTTGTGAATTTGTTATTGCATCAGCTGGCTTACACTCGTGGATTTTAGCATTTGTGCATTGTTTTAACGTAACAATTGTGTTTGAAATATATAATAAATTTAAAGTCATTTAGTTGATCTCAACATAGAACCAATAGTTGTCAAGACATTTTTTTAACAAATAGAAATTATGGCTCCGACTATTGAAACTTTTATCAATAGCTTCCAAAATCGACTGTGAGTATAACATTTTATTGTATTTATAAAAGCAAATCATTAGTTTCTTTATTGGTAACGGCTGTCACTTTGCATTCCACATATTTCTAGAAAGTTCATAAATTATTGTTGTAATTAATGTGACTCAACAATTACAAGCAAAAAACATCTGTGTAGCGAAATACCTATATGTTTTTGAAAAATAACGATTAAAATTTCTTTCAACAAAAAAAGTACAACATACTGTGGCATAACTAAATAAGCAAATATAAACATTGGTAATGAATGTAAATTTTTTTTTAAAGAACTAAAAGAGAAATATAATAGCCCTCTTAATATTCCAGGGAGCCTCCAGTTCGACAACATCTGAAAAATGTTTATGCCACACTTATGATGACTTGTGTGTCGGCTTCAGTGGGAGTGTTTGTTGACATGTACACAAGCTTCCAGGCCGGCTTCCTCTCTACTATTTTAGGAATTGGTCTGATGTTAATGTTGATTGCTACTCCAGACAATGGAAAGAACACCAAGCTGCGTCTTGGCTACTTGCTAGGATTTGGTTTAACATCTGGTTAGTATGATACATAGCTTTTGGAGAAATGAGTATTTATTATTAGATGAAGAACAATAACAATTTCAAAGGTTGCCAGTGAAATGATTCAAGATATATTTAAGAATATTTGTATTATTAAATTATCAGCAATTTGCACACTATTGTTTTAAATAATAGACATTTTTTCATGATTTTGAGTTATATTACAATGATTAACTAAGTGCAATTTTTTTAGGAATTGGTTTGGGTCCATTGTTGGAGTTTGTCAGCTTTGTTGACCCATCAATAATAGTGACTGCCCTATTGGGTACATCTCTGGTGTTTGTTTGCTTCTCCATTGCATCAATGCTGGCGGAGCGTGGCAGTTGGCTCTTCTTGGGTGGCACTTTGATGACACTGCTCACTTCCATGTCTTTCATGTCGCTGGCCAACATTTTCATGCAATCTCACTTCCTGTACCAAGTAAGTTTTTGTTTTACTTAAATATTTTTGATGCTGTAAGCTTTCTTCTTCCTTTTTATGACATTTTCATTCCAATAAACAGCTTTTCTTCATTTTAACTTAAAAGTTCTTTGCGTATTGACTTTTTAAAAGTGAATATTAATTATTATAATAATCATTGTAAAACAGTTTCTTGAGTAATAAAACACTCATGAAGATATGTTATTATGCTAACATAAAGAATTTAATATGATTAACAATCAGCTTATTGAATATTTAATTAAAATTTGCCTTATTGGAAAAATTAACATACAAATACCTCCTTTATTTTGAAGTCGGCTAAAAATGAAGTAATGTATTGTTTTAAATGTGTGTTTCAGACCCACCTGTACCTTGGACTGGTGCTGATGTGCGGCTTTGTGCTGTTTGACACACAACTGATCATTGAGAAGCGTCGCATGGGCAGCAAGGACTTTGTACAACATGCCCTCGAGCTGTTCATTGACTTCATTGGTATATTCAGAAGACTGGTTATTATCTTAACACAAAAGGTAAGATCATTTAAATAATAATTTTTTGTATATTAAACTTTGCATATATTTTTGACACACATACTAAGAAAAGATTAATGTATAAATCAAGTGAAATTGATTATTCTTTTCAAGTTTAAAAATGTCTTTAAATATAAATGGTTTTGAGATCTTTATAATGGTTGTAAACTGTATAAACAGCAGAGCAAACATATCATTATTGTTTACCTTGAAATAATGTTTGAAGTAACCAAGGTTAATATAAATTTGCATACAGTGTTTTTGTATTATTATAAATTCTGTTTATTGCTTTCTGTGATAACATATTATCAATTATCCAACTTAGAGAAGTCAAATGTTCTAATTAAAGGCTTTTTAAATGATCTCTAACTAGCTCTAGCTTGCGACTCTGTCTATTATATATCTGAGTTTAATTTCATCAAGATTAAGGCATTCTATAGATACCTCCTAACATACATCCATCTTAACTTTCACATTTTAATATTAGTAAGATAGGGAAAATGACAAAATCTAGCTAATGATAATAGTTATTCTATTCTACAGAAGAGCGGTGTAGATATAGTTGGAATATGATGACATTTGATAATTTACATGTTGCTCTGTATTAAATTTTTATAATATTTTCAGGAAGAACAAGATCGTCGCCGCAAACGTGACTAAACAACTCAATTAACATCAGAAACAAAATAAAAATATATTTGTATTATATACTACATAATATGATTATAAAGGGAATACTTTGTAGTGGGTATTCATTAATTTCTTTGTTTAGGTATCCTTGTTAAAAATTTATTAAGTTTCATATAAATAAACTATAACTTATAATAATCATCATGTGTTTTATTTATAATATATACCTCTTTCAACCTTTGTTCGTGCTACGTATGTTATCCTACCTGAGCCTTGAATATTCTCGAATGATTGAATAATTGGTACTAAATATTTTAGAGTTTTATTTACTAATTGCAGCATACAAATTAGTGTAAGATATTCAAACTAAGTAACTGTTCAAGTAAAAAAAACTCAGTGTTGTTGTCAGAATCGATTGATTGTTTTTAAATTCCTTAGTGTAGATTGAAAAGGTTTCCCTTAGTTAGCATTAAAAGGCTCGTGAGACGTAGCTGAATCAATACTGTGTTCTTATTTGATTGGTTAATTTTAGTTGGAGTAGTTACACAATGATTTGCATTATTTTTATATGACCACACTGGAAACCTACAACCCAGGCCTACATGACCACTTTTGTTATTAATTTAGTCACGAACGTGATCCACACGATTGCGTTAGACAGATAAGAATATTATCTCGACAATAAGATAGACATTCGAGCCCATTATTATCATAACTGCGTGATAATTACATATCTCGACGATATTATATGTATATAGAGATGAATTCAACTGAAAACATTATCGGCTATTAATCTTATTTTATATTCCCACAAATAACGTAGTATAAATATTATGTAACGTGGGTAAGGCAGTAGCATCTTCAAATACATCGTTTTAATATTTAACTTTCATTAAAATAGGTAACTTTAACTTAATCTGTTGAAGATGCGCGCGCAACTTTAGTACTTTTTTTATTGAGGTGACTAATCAAAAACCATCTTGTTTCTCGTCAGATGGATAAATGTTGTAACTCAGGTGAAACACAGAGACCCCAAAGAAGAGTTCACGGATTACAACTGCCCCTAAACTATCAGCAAATCATTGCTTGGATTGTTTTTATAATCAGTACTGTTATCAATTTCGTAATCCTTGTGCAAATACAATTTTATGAGCTCAAGGTGATATCGATTTTAACTTTTGCTACTCTGTACGTAGTCTTTGTACTATCCTATATATTTGCGATATACCTTGACCCAGCCGAAGAGGATCTTAGAAGACGTGAAATAAACGATGTTCCTGAGTTCGATCGTTCGATACACGCCCATGTTATAGAAAACGGAAGATGCCACCTATGTAACATTTACACAAGCAATAAAAAAACGAAACATTGCGGTATTTGCAACAAGTGCGTTTATAATTTCGACCACCATTGTCATTGGATGAACAGTTGCATCGGTCAGAGGAATTATAGTGCGTTTATTGTCTGCGTCATCACTATCACTTTAGCAGCATTGCTGACGGTGTGCTTGTGTTTGGCTGATATCATTTTATTCTTTATATATCCTCCATTGTTGAGTAGCGAAGCGCAAAGCTATATAAATTGTACCGTATACATGGAACCGAACATGAAATACTGTATGAATTCAATTTTGTTCCTGACATTTTCTACAATCCACCTAGCTGGATCGATAGCGTTAGCATGTCCTTTATTGCATTTACTTTTGTTTCATATTTATATATCCATTTTGGGATTATCAACGTATGAATACATTATGACGACTGATAATGTGAAGTACCAACCTGTACAGTGTTGTAATATTTCAATAAACAAAAAGTCTTATATAATATCCAAAGGAAGCGGAAACCGAGAAGACGGATCTACGAAAACGATTTTTAATAAGAAAAAAGGAGAACCATCAAACAGTGTACAAGAAAATGATAACAGAGTAGCGAATTTGCTACACATTTTAATAAATGAAGAAATAAACAAAGCTAAAAACTATCTTCTGTTTGATAAGAATAAAGTACATCCTCAACAAGAAACAGCATAAGATTACACTGATACATTTATATGACGTATTTAACTTAGCTTAGTGATAATACAAGTTCGTCACGAGTTGACGTTATCGCGATATTTTATGTTATGTGAACTTAGAAAAATGTTTAATCTCATATCTTAATCAATAAAGTTGATGCCTTATTCAAATTATACCATGTTTTTTATTATACCATATTTAATAGTTCAACAATTTTCTAAAAATCGACCATAAAGTTGGACACCAGATATCACGTGATCATCAGTGTCCAAATAATTATCATCTGCCTGACCTTGTCCCAACTTCATAAGGTCGGCGCACCAGGTTTCCTTCGTCGTGATCTCCTTCTTAATCATGTCACCTTTTACGCAATCCATCTATCTTTTCCTAAACTTACCTTCAACGGTTCACATACCCTCCACACTCATTCTCCTTGCCACATGCGATTCTATCCTCATAACATGCTACTACCACGCAAACCTACTTTTTAATTTTTCTACTACTAATGCAATTTTGAGACTACCTCTAATATAATAATTTCGTATCCCATCCACTCTTGTTACTCCACATATTTATCTTTACATTCATATACTCTCTTACATCCGTCTTTAAATCAGCCTAACATCAGTGTCCAAATATCACAAGGAAGTAGACAATAATAAAAAACTCTTAAAAAAACAATATATTATATTTTTAATGAATACACTACGTGTTGTCTTTATTTTCTTTCACCTTTTCACGTTTATACATACGACAATCATGTCCTTCGCAAAAGCAGTCCTCATTATAACATTTATTTCTGCAACACTTCTTGCATAGTTGATATGCACATTTTATGCCCTAGAAGTTACAAATTAGTTATAAATATGAAACAGAATAATTTCTCAACATTATTGTTGCAAATGTTAAAAGAAATCTAATGTATTTCCTTCATACTTACACATGGATTGGGGCAAACATCATTCGTACATATATCACGCTTTCTATTTGTAACAGCGTCAGGCTTTGTAGGTCTTCTCAAGTATCGTCTTAATTTCTTCATTTTTTTCCTAGAAATATGAATTCCATCTGGATCCTCAATAATCCTTTTTGCATTATCCTTAAACATGAAATAAAGGAGAATGAAATTGACATTTTTCATGACATATTTGTAAAATAAATGTATTTACCTGTTGTTTACATAATTCCATCTTTTGTGTGTGCTCATCTGGTGATATCCTTACATATGGCTGGCATATCCAAGGAGGTAGTATTAAATCAAATCCACATCTTGTCATACCATCATCCTGAAAATGTATTCTACCTTCATGGAACGGTAAGTATTTGTGTCTTATCCTTATGCATACTTGTTTGAAGTCATTCAAATTTTGTGCTGTAGCTAGAAGCTCTCTATCCTCATTGTTACCTTCTAAAGTAAATCTAAAACATTGATATTTATGAATTGCCATTATTTTGGCACCTACTGATGAACATTACATTTTTATTACAAATATTAATATGTTTGTATGTAGTCTAAAACCCAAAAATTTTCAAAAAACATGAATGATTATTTTATTGACATTCTAGCATATTTCTTAAGTACAGCCGTTTTTCCAACCAGTATTTGTTTTTAAAACAATTTATTTAAGCTTATTAAGGGTAATTACTATACATACATTTTATGAAATATCTTAAACAAATGGCCTCTTATAAATGATGAAGGACAGGGATATTTTTCAACTAAATCAAGATATTCCATAGCAATTTCCCATGTCACCGGATTGATTCCTTCAAAGAGAGCCGGGTTAGTCAATATACCTTCTGCACTCATGACACCATCCACTCCAGTGAAATTTATACATCTATAAACATCTTCTAAACATTGTATGTTACCATTTGCAAACATAGGTATTGATACAGCTTTTCTGAAAACAAAGAGCTGTCAGTTGGTTGTAACTTTTGGTTGTGGTGGTTAATTGTAAACTAAAATAATACTTTTGTGTAAATAATTACAGTAGAACAATATACCTATTATTTTTAACATCAATGTCTTTTAAAAAATTAAAGTTAAATTTTTGATATAAAAATGTGCAAAGTTGTATTGAAAATAACAATTTACCGCTTACTTTCCATACAATATTTCCTTATTAAATTAATTGTAAAACAGTTTTGTAACAAACCTTACTGCTTTTATATGTTCCCAATTGGCAATTCCTGTAAGGGGCCCTTTTTGTTCTCTTGTCCTTCCATGTACTGTCAATAGTTTACAGCCAGCATTTTGCAACATTAATGCATATTCAATAGATTTATCTATGCTGTCAAAAACTCGTACTTTGCATGTAATGGGCACAGTAACAGCTTGGGACATAGCGGTAACTGAAACAATAAAACTTTTCTTAAAAAAAGTTAAATAGTAAAGCACTGTTCAAAATGTAGTTAAATAATTACCTATTTTTTGTAGTAGTGACCAGTCATCTTGCAGGAAAGCACCGTATCTACCCCGCTTGGCTATAGATTGTGGGCATCCAAGATTAATGTCTATTGCATCACAGTCCTTTTCAACCAGTTTAGCAGCAGCAGCCATAACATCGGGATCATTACCACAGAACTGTTATTGAGAAATAATTATTTAAGTCTTAGTAATGCAAGTATAGGTATCAACATTTTAGTACCTTGATTTACCTGGACTATTAAGGGACGATCATTTGAAGAAGTGGTAAAATATTCTTTCCTGTATTTAGCGTCCTTGGTGAAAATGTAGCTATGAAGCATAGGAGTGTAACATAATTGCGCTGCGTGGTTCCTGCATAACAATCTCCAGGCTAGTTCACTCGCATCAACCATAGGAGCCACTACAAATTGTGGTCTTCCTAGGTTATCAAACCAGTCAGATGCCATAACTTTTTGAAATCGCCTAACAAAGTAACACTGTTATGTTTGTATTTTACTGGTATTGATCTAACATGCTCTTAATTTGAATAAAAATATGATTTTACAATTTACAAACTTAACATAGTCATAAATAAAATAACCTCACTTATTTTGACAATTTGACATTTTACAATCTGATGTGATGTCTGTCACTGACAAGACACAAACAAACCAAAGAGTATATAAAATATGCAAACAAACCTTTATAGAGCTTTAGATGTAGATTAATAATTTTTAAATCGCTAAATTGCCGCCAATTTCATCTTAACTGAACTGTCAAGTTAAACTGACACTGACAGGGCTGGGCATTCATGTTAATGGCAAGCAGTTAACGATAATAAAAGTTTGATAATATTAGAAAATTGCAATTTACTATATAGGTTAATATATGAAAAGAATAATACTAAAGTTTAGGACAAAGCCTTGTTTATGAAAATTAGATTATAATTGAAATGGCAAGTAGAAAACGAGAAGAACAAAAATAAATTTGTCATTTTTAAGTAAAGAAAATTTTTTTTTTTAATAACCAGGAATCACCGTATCAATTATTTTATTAAAGTTTTATTCGTACTATATTGTCCAATTCCAAAAAATGGCGCAAGACCTTATGGTAAGTTTGGACATAATATTTTAAGTATATTTTCACTATCAAACACATGTTTAAAGTAACATATTTAAATTTATTTCAGAGTCAGTTTTATGGATGTTTCAATTTACCTTTACATGAAAGGATAATGGAGTTAAGTAGAATTATAGAGGTAGCAAGCCCTAACAAGGATTTACAGACATTATTCCCTCAACTTGTTAATAATATTTTTGCATCTTCATTGAATAATGGTTGGGGATTGAATTCAGTGACATATGATGGAAACAGAAATTTATTTGAAATTCTTATAAGTTTCTTGGAACCTCAGGGGCCTATGTTTCAATTGTGCTACAAATTATTATCAGATCCTCAATTGAAGTATAATCTTCCACTTAATATTCTACCTGTAAGTGAATTATTTACTAAATATTTTGTTATTTTCAAGCTTTTATGTCTAAACTGGTATTGCTGATGTCCATGGGTGTCGTTGAACACCTCGGTGTTCCCGCTGCTCGGTTGCCCCCTTCCGTTATAAAAAAAAAACTTTTTTATTTCTTTTCAGCTAGATTTACAAGTGACATTAGAAAGAGGTCGCTGTCCACAATTTTATGCTGATTTGTTGACTGTTGATCCTCAGTCATTGAAATTAAATGTTGTTGGTTTGTCACTTAGTATCCTTTCTATTTAATGAGTATATAAACATCTAGCAAAGTATGAATCCACAATAGTTTAAAATATATATAAATGCAGCAATGAATGATATATATAATATCTATCTATTCTATTTCTAGATATAGTGACTAGGTTAAACGGTTACCTAACTACTTTTGTATTCACATTATTTTTTTGTTTTAATAAGACTTATGTTTAAGGTAGGGCAGGGTTATGTCTTATAAAAAAGTTTTATGAATTCCTTATAATTTCCTTAATTTATCTATCAGATCCATTTGATTATTACATATTTAATTTTGCTTTATATTTAATAAGTAATAATCATAATAAAACATCCTGGGAAAATTGGAACAGTGTTTACTTTGCACTGGCATGTGACTATCTAACACATTTCTTGCCAACTGATCCAAATGTGCCTGTATTGCCCCATATACCACACTATATGGGCAAGGTGCCAATGGCAGCCCCACTGCAGACTGCAAACAGGTGAGTATTTAAAATTCTATCTTGATAATCCACCTTTCTCTTAGAAACATAAATGTTCATACTACTTCACAGCTAAATACAAAGTAATTATGTATATTCCTGCTTTAAATCAATACAAAAAGTATAGATTTCAGATTGTTTCTTAAATTTAATTTTTATTATTATCAATTTGATGAGTTATTTTTATGTGGTGTATTTATTAAATATCCTTATCCCTTCTTTTGTCCTAACTCTATACCAATCTTTTAACATCTTTTTAAATGCTGTATATCAATTTTCAGACCTCTAGGCTCACCATCATTGCTTCTTATACCAGATTTGTCAGGTATTAGCAACCAACATGCATCCGCTCAAACACAATCCAGGAATGAGGTGTGGCGCTCAGAAACTGTCCTACAGGTTTTCATTGATATTTGGATGAGTATTGAACAATATAGTAATGGAAATATTGATGTAAGTCATACAAATTATTGGAGCCTATTTCATTTCGTTTTATTGATTTAATTTAACACCCTTTTTTTTATTTGGTTTCAGAACTTTCAACAAAATTATCCAGTTCTGACCTCTAGTCCTGAAAGAGTGAGAACAGTTCGCGTTCTTGTGAAGCACATTCATTCATTTTCAGCTAAATATCTATCAGATCTAGCGACTCGTTCGTCGGCATTAAGAAAATACGCACGACAAATCATGTGTGCAAGAGCATACCATTATGTGAAGCATTTAGTAACAACATGGCCTTTAGATGCATCATTTAGATTAGTTATAGAATTATGGTTAAGTTTAATTCAACCATGGAGGTATATGGATAGTGCAATCACTCAGGAAAGGTACTATTAGCTACTCACAATACACATTTTGGAAGCAGACCAGTAAACCGGCTCACAGTTTAGCTCCATTTGTACCTGTATGCAGTTATGTTTTGCATTTCCGTGAGTGACAAGGTTGCTTGCAGCTTGTTTATGTGTTGTGATGAACCATGAGCTGTTGATTAAATTGTTGAGTCACAGCTCAGTCAGTTCTGATCTTCAAGTATCTGTGGCTTGATATTTTGAAACAATACAGAGCTGATTTTTACATGTCTACTTAATACATTTGTACATTAAATGAAGCATATTAATTCGTAATTTAAAATTCACCAAATGCAATTAATATTTTAGGTTCCCCAGAGCACAACCACTTCAAGAGGAAGGTAACTCCAATACTCTAGATGCAAGCTACACCCAGTTCATAGCAGAGAATTTCCCAACATATACATGTATTTTCCAAATGGTTTTACCCAGATTTATGAGGCTCGATTTGACAACATATAAAAATGCTGTAATGTTGTTCCGTTTGGGAAAGGTGAGAAATATACATATCTCCCGAAACATACTTTAAAATAGTTCAGGAGACATTCCCCATCAATTTCTTGAAAAATCGTTTTTTTTTCAAAAAGGAATTTGAATTTTTGTTTTATATATTTATTATGTAATTGCTTTTGAATTGGTAAAAATAATATATGCTTAAATTTTTTCTAGGTATTTTCTCAACAACATCTTATACCAATTTTATGGAATCTAGAAAAAGCGATGACGGATAATACCTCAAGTCTACAAAACAGTCCAGACAATAGTTATAATAATATTTCTGCTGAACACAGGTACCTTGAATTTCGATTTATTCATTATACTTTCCAAAGAGTACGGAATTTAAAAAACAAACCGTCGTCAAACAGTTTATAAGAGAGTGGATAAGAGGTTGTGTTTATAGAGGTTTGATTTGATTAATATTTTGTTAAAAAATAAGTAATTTTAGAAGTTCCATTGTTAATAAAAATATGTATATTTATTTTTCAGTTACACGTATAACGGCATTTCATTGAGTAAATGGGTTGCCATCGCTAAGCAATCAATTTCTGAATTAAATGTGACAGCTAATTTTGAATATTGTCCTATTTGGTCCGAAAATAAGAAATCATATATGATGGAGTTTATAAAGAAAATTCATACAGCAAAATTAATTGCCGAGAAGAATGTTGAAGAATTCAATAAGAGGATAAATCAACATCAACAAGGTAAAAACGAAACTGTAGAAACGTTAAGGCTATGTAAGGCTATGGCTATATGGTACCAAATGATCAATATTATGTATTATACTAACTAGCTGTCGACCGCGGTTTTGTTCGCGCGAAATGAAGAAAAAAATTATTTAGCAGCCTATGTGTTCTTTCATACTATGCTCCACATCTATGCTAAATTTCAGCCAGATCCAGCCGTTCCGGATACCGAGATACCTTCAAACAAACTTCCATCCATTCAAACATTCGCATTTATAATATTAGTAAAAAGTGCTAAAAATAATTAAAGTATTTTGAGTCATAGCGAATTAATTTTCACTACAGCATATTGGGCCCATCGTAATGTCCGTCGAGATCCGATCGCAGTGTTAGTGGTCAAGCCAACTATATTGCCTCGTATGTAAACTGCAGAAAACATAAGATACATGATACGGACCAACAAATCATTTGGATATCGTGAATTATTTTTATTTGCTGTTGTTCTTGGTATATAAAAATCTGTTTAAATATTTATTGATTGATACTTTCAGGTTTTTGGGCAACTGTAAAGCACTGGCTGCTTATAGTGAATAAAGATGAAGATGAATTACTTATTGAAGAAATGAAGAAGGTTCCGGATTATCTTAATAACTGTATACATTATTTTTGTAATATTTTTGGGGTTAGTATTAAGAATTTATGTTATTTTCTGCCTTTTTAGTGGCCAGTATATAATACTAGCTGTCGCCCAAGACTTTCCGCGCAGAATTAAAAAAATACTTCAGCGAGATCCATGTAGCCTTTCTGGAGATACCTTCAAACAAACATACATCTATCCAAAAAATTATAATATTAGTAAGATTGTTCTGTATTTTTCAGGTAAATGATAATATGTTATTATCACTAGAAACAGGAATAGAAGATGTTTCCCAAGAGGATGTATCATTTGATAATTCATCCAATTTTGCACTGTCTATAACTAATAAGGTACAGAAGCTTAGTAAATTCTCCACTTTTCTTAAATAACAATTGGATAAATGTGTATGATTTTTGTTTTTTAGTTGAGAAGCAAACCTACGTCTATAAATTATATGGGAGATCCAGATTTAATGCCAATCACAAGCTATGAAAATACCATATTAGTGAGGATGTTTTATCAAATCGCAGCAAGATTAAATGAAATCGTACGTATTCAGTTATTGACATTATTTTGTATTTTAAATTAAATGTTGAAAGTATATGTTTTTTTTTAATTTTAGTATGGAGACGAGTTCTGTGCATTCTGGAATCGAAATGATTTATGTGGTTACGTGGCACGTGAAATACTGCAGAAGCCATGTACGATTCAAACTTATGTGCGGGATGCCAGCAATCGGAACAACGTTATCCGCCAGGAATTGCCTGCTCGCCTCTCGCTGCGTCGTCTCGGCTCACACGTCTGCATCGTGTGGCTCACTATCGGATACTTACTGTTCCTATTGTTCTCAAACAGTGTCATCTTATATGTTATGTTCATATTTATAATGTGGAGCGTCTACATATTAATTAAAGCGTCTTTGAAAATGTTAAAAATTATGAAAGATAAGTAAAATTGGTATTTTTACATATATATATATTTTTTAATTCTTCCGATCCGATATTGTGTAACGAAAAAAACGAATGAAGAGACAACCTTTTATTATTATTTAGCAATATTTCTTAAGCGTAAGTTTGGGCACTATATTCATGGAGGCGAGCTCCTGGAAGAGCAGTTTGCAGGCGTAGGGCATCTCTACGGCGGAGACTGCGGCGGAAGAGCGGCAGGCGTGGCACCAGGCGCGGCTCGCCAGTCGCCCGCACGCGCCGCAGATGTCCGCGCTGAACGCGTCCGACGCCAGCATCAGACGCTCCATTAGCAACATACTGAAACAAATAAGTATTTTTCAAAGTTTTAATATTAGAATAACCAACTGCAGCTCTAATATTTTTCGATAAACAATAGCGCCATCTATTTTTACTTACACTAATATTTTTTGTCTTTTTTTAAATTACAAACAAGAATAATAAACAAACAAAATGATCTTTCTTATAAATGAAAATGATGAATTAATCTTGTATGTCACCTGGCGCCGTATCCAATGAGGCAATCTCGTTCCATCTCTCCCAGACGCAGGCCGCCGTCACGCGACCTACCCTCAGTGGGCTGGCGCGTGAGCACCGCGCGTGGGCCGCGGGCGCGTGCGTGCATCTTGTCTTGCACCATGTGCTTTAGCTTCTGATAATAAACCTAAATAATATGTTTCAATATGTAGTCTCAACAATTAACTTTAAATTAGTATAGTTTTTTGTTATTAATAATCAAAATTGATAAGATTACAAAAATGCACTATATACTATAGTCATATTTGCCAGTCAGAACAATGTTTTAAATTCAGCTGAACAAATTAAAAGAAAAACCTTACCGGTCCTGAATAAATATAAGCTTCTAAAGGCTCGCCTGTAATTCCCGAATAAAATATATCTTTGCCATGATAATTGTAGCCATGTTTTTCTAGTTCATTGCATACATCTCGAACTTTGGATCCACCAAATGCTGTGCCTAAAGATGAATAAATTATATTATCATTCATGTACTGAATAGTTTCTTAATATAAATGTTTTCACATATCATGGCGTCTCTCTCTTAACTTCAAGTGAATCATTGCACAGAACACAAGGGCACTGTACCGATAACCTTGTGCCGCCAAAATATTCGAAAAAACTACATGTGTACACTTACCATAGTGGAATTTTCCTTCCATTAATCCTGCTTTTCCCGCAAGCAATTCGATAGTTTTACCGACTGTCATACGCGATGGAAAGCCGTGAGGGTTCATAATCATATCGGGACATATCCCTCTGTCATTAAATGGCATATCTTCTTGTTGAACTATTAATCCAGTAACACCTTTTTGACCATGTCTAGAACTGAACTTATCTCCTATCTCAGGGATTCTAGTTTGTCTAAGTAATATTTTAATAAGAAATGCATCCTCTGCATTTGCGGAAACCATAACTCTCTCTATGTAAGACTCTACCGGACCTTTATATGTAACTGGAACTTCTTTGTATTCAATTTGTTGTTGCTGCTGTCCTTGTGCAATAGGATTTATTGTAGCCGGAGGCATTTGTTTATTTATCAAGACTTGTCGATTCTCAACCATTTCTCCAGGTGCAGCGATTCCATCAGAATCAAGGATATCGTGTGCTTTTATAACTTTCCCTGTTGTGGCATCTTTTGAAGGGCCTAATATTCTATCAGATGTTTGATTGCTATATCTTTTCATGGTTGTTTTAGCACTTTTGTAGACAAGGCAGCGTCCGTAGCCTCGATCTATCGAAGCCCTGTTCAGGATAAGAGCATCCTCGATATCATAGCCGCTGTAACTCATGACGGCGACGGTGGCATTCTGTCCGGCGGGCAACTTGTCAAAGTTTGTCAACTCTATAGTCTTTGTTTTTACCATTGGACACTGAGGATATACCAAGTTGTACATCAAAGTATCAATTCTATTCTTTTGGTTATATCCAATTGTACCTGCAAATAACGATTTTCATAATGGAATGTCATACAAGATGTGTTTTAACCTTCAATGTGTTTAAAAGTAACTTACCCATAGCTTGTTTCCCCATAGCACATTGGTATGTATTCCTCGGGCTCTGATTGTGGTGTGGGTAAGGTACCAGGCCTGCACACACTCCTAATATTGTAAACGGCTCTATCTCAAGGTGCGTAGTGACGTATGGATCTATTTCCGCCTCAACTGTTGCTATGTGACTGTCGTTTTCTTCGTTCACATCCAAATATTCAATAAGGCCATCATTTAAGAAATCTTGGAATTTTCTTATACCTCTATTGAGTTCATTTATGTGTACTTGTTGGACGAGAGGGTTGCCCTTTTCCACTATTATGTACGGACGACACAATCTTCCGCCGTCGCTGCATATGTAAACTGTTCTTTGGTTATGATTTGGATAAATTGACACAAACGATGAAATGAGACCACGTCGTCTGAACATTCGGAATATCTTGATGAGTTTCTTGTACTGTCGCGTAACTCCCAAAATATTACCTGAAAAAAAAAAGATAAAGTTCAAGAAATTAATAAATCACAGCTACATATAATGTTAACCAAGACCATTACCATTAAGAAACACAATATAAACTGCAGGATGGTTAATTTCTTCTCCTCCCAGGAGCCTCACATCTTCGACGCCGGAATTACATGCTAGTCGTGAGATAGGTTCCTCTGAGCTATCGGTGGTAATATGCGTCATCAGGGCAAGGTTCTTTACGAGACCACAGCCTTCGCCTTCCGGAGTGTCCGAGGGGCAGAGCATTCCCCACTGCGAAGGCTGCAGTGATCGCGGACCTGACACTTTCCTGGTCTTCTCAAACTGAGAATTGACTCTGGTCATCATGCCTAAAGCTGATATGTAGCTCAAACGACTGAGCACCTGTGTTACACCGTGTCGTTCCATCTTAAATCTTTTTATGGTCCAATTTCCCTATAATACAAAACAACATTATTCCACAAAACACTCAAACAATTTATAATTGATTTGATTTTTTTTATCTAAACACTTACAGACGATATTGCCGTAAACAAGCCATTTGCAATCAAATCCGGTCTCATGTGCTTTACGACATCGAATGGCGCTGCCTTTACTTTTGGTATAATTTTATCAGCTATAGATTTCAGTTCCCAATTGAATCTTTTAAAAAGATCTTCAAACATTAAGGACAACAAAGAACCAGCTAATTCCAGCCTCTTGTTACCGTAGTAGTCTGGGTCATCTATAGCGGATTTGTTGTTCTCTGCCTCGATAACTCTTTTCACCATTATAGCCAGATAAATAGCTTTTACATAAAAATTGAAGTTCTCAACTGTTACATGAGCCAGAATAGTGGTTGCAAGTAGATCTCTCGCTTCATCAATAGGCGTTCTTGCTTTTGTATTTGCAGTCTGAAACCTGTATATATACTTTTATAATTTATTTATTAACTAAAACAAGAGATTATAAAAATAAACTTGACTTTTAGAAGATAAAGAAATCAATAATACAAGAAAAACAAAGCTTAAGCTACTTGTTAGATTGTTCTGTTGGCGTAGCTGTTTATTTTTATTTTGAGTTAACTTATAAAAATATCTAAATAATGTCATGTATAGGCTTCTTATTATGTTATAACATATGTCTATATATCATATAGGTTTTAGTACTTTTTAACTCACCTTTTCACCTTCAATTTACTTCCTATATATGCAAGAGCTTGGTTCTGAGTAAATATTTTTAGATTATGGCATTCCATAATGCAAGGTGCCATCTTCTTCGCAATAGCATCATCTGAGCCTACAAGTTGCATAATTTCTTGATCGGTACATATCCCCATTGCCTTGAATGCAACTGCTATTGGTATATCCTGTAATAATACTTTGATTAATTTTATTATGTGCTAGCAGTCTTTCCCAGCTTGCCCGCATTTATATATATCATTTTTTTTTTAATATCAAATTTAGTCTGTTACTCAGGGACAATGCAATGTAGACATAAATCATTCCTCTTTCTAACATTAAAATGTAAATGTGGATGTGCCTAGTAAAGGAAAAGCCCTTACATCAGACAGTGCATTATGTCTCATAACATATTTGCCATTCTTTACAATAACGTTTGTTCTTGTCTTCTTTTCATGTGTAGAACTTGTCACTTGACATTGTATAGCACCTTTAAATTCATCCACAATCATTCTGTTTTTGGACAATTGCTCTTGGATCAAAATGACTTTTTCTTGTCCTAAAAATATTAAAATTAAATATAAATTAAGTTTTATAAAATGATAAAGCTTGTAACAAATAATCATAATATTTTTTTAATCATACCTCTAATAATAAAGTAACCACCAGGATCATGAGGACATTCATTGAGTTGTGCTAACTCAAAATCTGATTTATTTGTTAACACACAATTTGAGGACCTCAACATTAATGGCATTCTAAAAGCAAAAATTACCATTAAAAAAATAAAATTATATGCACTCTAAAATAGTTTTTTTATATTGGTACTGTAACTTGCTAAATTTGAGGTGTGCCTTAAACATATTTTTAGAATAAAACATCACTTGAATTGTGATTTACAGATTTCTTCACTAACTACTATTAATTATTATACATACCTTCCAATTAGTTGTTTATTCTTAATTACTCTCTGGTTTCCCCTTATGTATTCAATATCCACTGTAATTGGGGCAGAGTATGTCATATCTCTTAAACGGCATTCATGTGGTGTGGCTGCTTTAGTTACATTAAAACCTTCTTCTAAATCTGGAGTTCCTACATATGCATTCAAATATTTTATATAGAACAAGGGATCAGCGTCACAGAATACTTTTTCATTGGCCTGTACAATCTTTTTTATCTCAACATTGATGAAATAATTAAATGAATCAATGTGCTGTTTCACTAACCCTTTTACTTGCAGAAATGAAGGGACAAGTTTCCATTTATCCTGAAAAATTAAAAAGTTTAAGTAATGCAGAGCAATTCACCATTCAGGAGTTTAC